AATATGAAGCCATTGTGAACCATTGTAGGTGATGCTTAATAATTCACATTTTATTCAGAATAAGGGTATGAACATTAATATTGAGTATATATCAAGAATATTATTTTTTTCTTCAGTGTTTCCAGTCAATAAAGTGTTACTTGTACCTTAAGTCTATAAATATGATGCATGTTTTTCCATTTTCTGTCATTGGAGTTATGATTTTCTTAATAGGTGCCATTTTCTGTATTGATCAATGGCTGTATTTTCCAGGTCTTTGGCAAACAACAACATTAAAGCATTACCTCGGGACGTTTTCAACGACTTGGACTCACTGATAGAGCTGTGAGTTTGTATTCTGTTTCCTTCTTCATAATCCGTATCAAAAATGAATCCCGGGTCCCATGCATTTCTTCTAATGTATGTTTTAGCTACTTTGTTCATCTGCAATGACACTGAGTACCTCTCTTCTGCAGGGACCTGCGAGGCAATGCTTTCGAGTGTGACTGCCGAGCGAAGTGGCTGATGACGTGGCTGAAGAACACCAACGCCACGGTTTCGGATGTCGTGTGTGCTGGACCAGAGGACATGAAGGACAAGCGCCTCAATGATATGACCAGCCTGCACAACGAGTGCGTCTCAACAGGTGAGAAACACCTGAGCCAGATGGCCTTGTCTCTGTTCTAACTGGCATCAGGCCACTCGACCAGGTCATCCCATCAAGTGTAAAGAGGAGGCAAAAGTGTGGGGTTTCTAAATTCAGAATGTGCCTTTTCTGCAGATTTCGTCCTCCATCAGTCCCTGGCATCTGAGTCTCTGTCTGTGGACACATTCAGCTATAAGAACGACGTCTATGTGACGATAGCTGCTCCCAGCGCAGAGAGCTGTATGGTTTTCCAGTGGGACCACATAGAAATGAACTTCAGGACTTATGATAACATCACAGGTACGGCAAATGTTTTAACTGTGGATGCTGTTGTTACATTTTGAGAGTTTGGGCCATTTTGTTTCATAACATGTCGGCCATTTTGTCTTCTTTCTGAATTTTGAGAAGGAAAACACATCTAAAATACACATTTAAGAGTTTTTCTTACTGCGTTTTTGTGTTTGTAGATTCAGTAGCACTTACAGCAGTTTCATTCCCATTGTTTACAGTTTTTACTGATCTATGGAATGATACAAAGAAATATCCTAAAATCCCTCTGTACAAACCTTTAACTCTGATATGTTTGAATTTACAAATAGAGAATTTTCCACCCGGTATTCAAGTTTCTGTAGTAGAAATGTATTCAAATGAAATTAGCACATATTTGATAAAAATAATGGCTAATTTGCATATTTAAACGCAGCATTTCATAAAACCTGTCCAGCCAGTAGTGAGCTGGGGAAGTTTGAAAGTGTTTTTCAATAACAACCTTTTACAATTTGGTATTGGCCCGTTTATTTTATTTTCTCTGCCTTTCAGGTCAGTCCATTGTGGGGTGCAAGTCAGTGGTCATCCAGGACCAGGTGTTTGTCATCGTGGCTCAGCTGTTTGGTGGCTCCCACATCTACAAGTTTGATGAGGACCAAAGCAGCTTCAGCAGGTTTCAGGACATCGAGGTGTCCAAGATCTCCAAGCCCAATGATATTGAAGCGTTCCAGGTGGGCTCTGACTGGTTCTTTGTGATTGCTGACAGTTCAAAAGCAGGCCTGTCCACCCTCTACAAGTGGAACGATAAGGGCTTTTATTCCTACCAGTCGCTGCACGAGTGGTACCGCGACACAGACGCAGAGTTCCTGGACTTGGATGGGAAGGCGCACCTTATCTTGGCGAGCCGCTCGCAGGTGCCTGTGATCTACCAGTGGAGCCGGAGCAACCAGAAGTTTGTCCTGCAGGGAGAGATCCCTCACATGGAGGACGTTGTAGCTGTGAAGCACTTCCGGATCAAGGAGGAACTCTACCTGGCTATGACGCGCTATATTGGTGACTCCAAAATCCTTCGTTGGGGTACCAAACAGTTTACAGAGATCCAGGCCTTGCCCTCACGAGGCTCCATGATTCTCCAGCCTTTTTTTTTCAAAGAGCGTTACTACATGGCTCTGGGAAGCGATTACACCTTCTCGCAGATCTACAAGTGGGATGATGAGAACAAACTATTTGACCGCTTCAAGGAAGTGTACATCCAGGCACCGCGCTCCTTCACTGTGGTTTCCACTGACCGCAGGGACTTCATCTTCACCTCCAGCTTCAAGGGAAACACGCAGATCTTTGAGCACATCATGATTGACTTGAGCTTGTGAGGGGCCTTGTCATGGCCCCCGAAAGATTGGTGGAGGGGGGAAAAAAGGACAAAAACACACTTTTTCAATTTCAATCCCTTCATTCTTTCCGTCCCAAGTAAAAGCTGGGTAAAGATGTGTTTAGAATTCTTATAGTTTTCAAGCTTGATGGCCTTGTCCAAATATCTGTTTCCATGGTCTTTCAGACTTCAGAGACTGAGAGGGCGAGTCAAGAGGGGGACAAGCGTAAAAGGAGGCTGGTATTCTCCTAAAAATCCAGCTCACATTCCTGAAGGTGGAATACTTTCTTATGATTTGGATCTATTTTCAGTTTAATATCCCCTATCCTAATGGTTTTATACCCTAACTAATATACAACAAGACCTAAGAGAAGTATCATATTATTTTCTTATGTTCTCATTAAGGGCATGTAACAGGTGTGGTTGCTCCTCGTGTGCCACTTACCTCATGCCCTCATGTGGTGATTGTTGCCTTATCAGCTCTGGGGTTCTGTGTCCTGATTGGCCCACAGTGCCTCCCTCTGGCCGTGATGAAGTATCACACCCCTTTGCTTTTTCCAAACAGGGAATGTCTTGAAAGCACAAACCTTTAATTATCCTAGGTGAGACCCCAGCCCTTAGAGTGTAGTTGTTACGAGACAAATGTTACTGTAGGTGCTATAGATTATATCGCGTACAGTAAATAAGGTACCAGTGGTTTGTGAGGTGGAGAAATATTCAGGACTGGATATAGCTAATGCCTTTTTAGACTAACATGTGAATGGAATCAACTTTTAGACCAGACTAACTATAGTAGAAACTGATAGAAGCTCTTTAAGTGTTTCAGGGAACAAACCTACATACAAATAAAAAAAGCAACCTGAGTTGTTGTACTACTGACATCATTTAACTTTTTATTTTTCAACTAAAACTTTAAAAAGCTCCTCACTGAAGAAGTGATAGCTCACATTTATGAATAAAATAAAAAGACATCATTTGTTTGTCTACAAATGAAGGAAACAATGTGTTAATGTAAATATGTTCACTCTAGTTGAGAGGCTTTTTCCGTCTGTCATTCTCTTCTTACTAATACTGAATGTTAACTTACAAGCTACAAAATGTACATACAACATGGACTGCAATGCCACTACCTGTTTGTCACACAAAAACTGAACAGAAATTTGCACTTACTTTTAAAAAAACTAATAAAAAAACATTACTGCAACTTGCAAGCGCATGACATTCAAAAAAGGGTGTTTGCTAAATTATTTTGAAATGAACCTAACAAACTCAGAAGTCTACAAGTGCTTCTTCTCATTAAGAGAATGGTATTGTAATTTTAAAAAAGCATACTGGAATATGCAAGCTTTATAACATGCGGGTTATTTTGTATGATTTTGTTTTAAGCATATTGAATGTTACTCAAAGTATGCTGTAAATATAATCAGTTGGGTATCAAAATAAATGTGTAAAAATAAGATTGGAAGGTGTGTGTTATCATTCATTGGTCATCAGGATGAAAGGGCTCAGTCATTATGTCAAACCCAGAGTAAATTATCCAATGACTGCAGTTGCTCTCATTTAGTGTCTTTTAGCTTTGTTTTGATAGGCTGCAACTTCCGGGTTTAAAAGTGATTTAAAACCTGCATGTGCAAAAAAGTCAGATTTTATCAAAGTCTATAAGAAAATTACCCTAAATATCACTTTTCTGACCTTACATTTTCCTGACAAGTGCATGGTATCGATCTCTAGTTCCAAGTGTCTTTCAATACCACGTGATGTGTATTTAAAAAATTATGATCTCTTTATGAGTAAAATAGACGATAAAGCAGCGTATGCTTATGGGCGGAGCAAACGTGTGATTGACAGGTTGCTACAACAGTGTTGTTGGCTTTTGGTGTGGCCAGTGTTTTGGTTTTCGAACCTTAACCCTTTCACAGTGTGTTTTTAGTTTTTAAATGAACAAATCAAGAGTTTGGGGTCAAGATGGCAGCTTCCTTACAGATATGACCATAAAATACAGAATATTACTTTATGCACTAACATCACATGTGCACATCTACATTACAGTGTTACATAACATGTACAGCTGATAACCCTCTAACTCAGAATGCTTCATATCCTAACCCTAAACCCATTTTATGTTCCTAGTTTGACGGTGTAAGTAGCACAGCTTACTGCAAAAAGTCCTAGCAGAATTATACAATCTGAAAGTTGAACCATTGTCAGATAGGAACCTGTTTGTCTTTCTGTTATCCATTAGAAAGATGGCAGAAGGGCTTATGTACACCAACAGCCTAGTTTAAATAGCTTTAAAACAGTTTTTCTGTCAATGACACGGTTGTTGGTTAAATAACTTTGAGGTTTCTCTGTCTTCTACAACTCCAGCAGTGGTTCCTGGTTATTAACAATGTGTTTTCTTGGAAATGCAGGCTGCCATTTAAGATATCATTTCTTTAAAGACAAAACAAATGTGTTTAAAAAAAATGAATTCTTCGCTTCCCACAAGTAGACAGGTTGGAAGTAGCCGATCCTGCTTTGATTCTTAAGATTTAAGTGCTATTTCTTGTGCATTTATTTATTTATATATATTGTAAAAGTTCCTGCTGTGCCCTCTATGATAATGGTAGTATGTAAGTATAGCAAAACAAATGCAAATGCTTTGAGAACCTCTGTATTTTAAATGTGCAAACCCTACTTTAAATAACTTTGGTTTCTATTTCCTGCCTCATACTGTCAGATCTTTCTAAAGAGACAGAGGAAGCGGTAGAGACTGTTGGAAACCCCGCCCATCTCGCCCAGCAAGTCCCTACAGACAGAGAGAGGCAGAGAGGAAGAGTGCAAGAGTCAGATAAGAAAGAAAAAGCACAACATGTTAAGTTTTGATAAAACTCATACTGCTGCAGACACCCCACGTTGACATCGTAAGTTAATTTCTCTTCAATCCTCTAATACTGTTTTAGCTTTAAAATTGTACTTTAGAATAATCAGTGTGGTCTCCTAAGACGAGCACACTCGTGTTGCCTTTCTCCTGTTCATGATCCATTCTTATGGTTATTTGATGTAATTTATAATGAATGTTTATTTAGTAACACTATATATTTCATCCTTGTTCCTATGACCCAAAGCTATAAAAGGATTTCCACAGCAATGGCCATTTAAAGTTGAATTCTGGTTTCCAGCCTGAAGGAGGAAGTTCAAAGTCTAGAATGGTTAGCGAGGCACAAGGTGTGGCACTCACTCCTCTCAGGTGTTATGTAATCTGTATTTGTACAGTGCTGTATGTAGTCATATAGACGGCTTCTGACTGAGTTCCCTCGGGTTAAAGGATCTGTATCTCCCTAAATGTAGTCTTGGTAAACGGAATATCGTTTTGAAAGCATTCTATAATTACATGCTAACATTGTAAAAGTAATAGATTTTGGCTGCTTGTCAACAATTTAAAGTGGCACCAAATATTGGAAAAGTAACATCATAGTTTTCTCTTTTTTGTCACAGGTACCTTGAAACCAAGAAATGAATATCATTACACAGGTACAACTGTTTCATCCCCCAAATGAAACACATCTTATAATAAAGAGTATTATTAACAACAACCTCAAGAAGCTCAAGAAATTAGTAAAGGAAACCAACATTAATGAACTTTACCCATGCAAAGACGTTAATGACTATATAACTCCTCTGATAGCTGCTGTTGGAAATCAAAATGAGGATATTTTTACATTCCTTTTGGAACGGGGTGCTGACCCAAACAAGGCTTCCAGTAACGGCCTTACACCTCTGCATTATGTATCACTATCCAAAGCACCAGCTATTTTCGTTGAGAAACTGCTTGAAGCCAAAGCTCATCCAAATGGATCGAATCCAATGTGTACCCCTCTGCACACTGCTGCCATCCATGACAGGGACGATGTCTTCAGAGTTCTCCTTTCAGCTGGTGCAGTGGTAACATCCTTGCCTGGGGCTCAACATAAATTACACAATGAAAAGATATCTAAGAGGATTCAAGACCTTGCATCGAGGGGAGATAAATTGTGCTCCAAAATCAGATATTTCCTAGATATGGAAATTGCTGTGCAAGAAAAAACACCTGAAGAAGTGTTCAAAACGTTTGACAGTCACATGCTGTTGGAGGATCCTCAGACCCATCTGACAATGATTGAAAGACTTTTTAATGCAACTGGGCAACATGCAGAAAAATACCGCCAGCTAAGTATCAAATGGCTGAAGGACACTGGAAATCTTGACACGTACATTGCAGGTGCCGTCAGTCGCTTTCCAAACATTCCCCACCAGGAGTATGTTAAAATATCAATTGTCACTTTACATGCAGTTTTTTGCACTCTTGAAGATATACCAAATGAGCAAGCTTTGGATATAATTCCCCAACTACTGAACCAGCTTAGCTCAAAAGAGAGTCCTGATATATGGCACAATGTTTTGCTCACACTATATGTGATAACACAGAAGACAAAAGGCACAAATAGATGGGATCAGAACTTTGTTGAGAAGATATGCAAGACAATAACTCCTTTTGTAGAGAACCGATACCACTCTGACATAAGACTTCTCACATACGGCACATTCGCAAACTTACTTTCAGTTAAACATGCAACCAACATCTTTGCATCAGTGGGGATAACTTCAGTGCCTGAGGACATACTGATGTCTGCAGAAATGGATACAAATGAGAAAATGAAAGAAGTGCTTAAGCAACTGAAAGATCATCTCAGCAAGCCAAGCATGGACTCTGAGGACTCTACAGTCTTACCTGAATCCAAAAAGAAGAAGAAAAAGAAGAAGAAAAAGAAAAAGAAAAAGTCAGAAAACCAAGAAGAATCAAATGAGGAAGTTTGCACTGCTTCATCTAATCCAACAGTAGGCCCTGTTGAGGAGACCACTTCAAATGTGAAGCCATTCCATGTCCAAACTACTAAATCAATGCCACGCAGATGGGAACAAAGCAGCGTGAGGTGGAGAGAAAAGTTAGAGAAGCTTGTGAGTACTGATGAAGAAGTGAGCAGAATTGGGAGCATGATATATGTAAATAAAGTAGAATTCTGCATAGCAAAAGGGAGTGACGGTACCCAAGTCTTCTTGGGGCTGAGAGATGATGGCACTGAAGTTGCTATTAAGAAAATGTACAAATGCAACTATCAGGTGCTGAAGCATGAGGAAGGATTTCTACGGCTTCCAGAGCTTGACCATCCATCCATTGTGAGATACATTGACCAATCGGAGGATGACAACTTTGGATATCTTGGTCTTCAACTGTGTGAATATACCTTGGAAGAATACATCAAAACGCATGATGATAGTCACTTGAGAAAGAAACTTGTCTATCAAGTTCTCGAAAGTTTAAGGGTGCTTCACTGTCAAGATCCTCCCATTCTCCACCGGGACCTCAAACCACAGAATGTTCTGATCGGTAAGATAAGTCCACAATATACTAAAATTATGAAACTAACTATAAGAAAGTAGGAAACATGTACGTTTTTTTTCCTGAGTTTGTTGTCTGGATTTTTCCTGCAGATGTGAAGAGGAGGGCACGATTAGCTGATTTTGGCATCAGTAGACGGTTACCCAAAGACCAAACATCTTATCGCACTTCCAGAGCAGGGACAAGATGTTGGATGGCCAAGGAGACTTTATCAGAAGAAGACGACACTAAGATACCATACAAGCCAAACTGTGATATACAGGTCAGTTATTCTGTTACACAAACTTAATTGACATTAACGTTTTGATTGATTAAATGTTTTTTTAATTCTTAAGGTGGCAGGGATGGTGATTTATTATATCCTCTCTGGAGGGCACCATCCTTTCGGTGACAAACCCCATAAATGTGAGAACAACATTGATGAAGGGAACTACACTTTGGAGCATGTTCAAGACGTGTTGGCAAAAGACCTCATTGAGTGGATGATTGATGCAGAACCAAAGAACAGACCTAAAGTGGAAGAATGCTTGAGGCACCCCTTCTTCTGGACCCCTGACAGGTACAACCATTTTAAACATAGCCAATTGGTTATGATTATTCAACTAATATGCTGTTGTTATTTAACTTTTCTATAAATAGTATTAATCTTTTCTAAAATAGTCTAAAAAACATTTTCATTTTTCAGGAGAATAGAATACTTGAGAAAAATGGGAAACAGGAAGGAGGCAGAAAACTGTCGAAATGCTGACAAGGAATTAATTTCTTCACTGGAGAAATGTGATGGATCCTTCAAAGAGTGGAAAGATAAGGTGACTGCAACATAAGTTTTATTCTCTTTTTGAAACCAAAAATGTATCCTTACCACCACTTTTTACAAAGAACACTTATAACTAACTAACATTTGTTTTGATCACAGTTTCCACCAGAGTTGCTGCAGAAGATGGATGGCAAGAAGAAATGCTACCCTGAGAACACGTTGGGATTACTGCGCTGCATACGAAACCTCCAGGAGCACTAGTACGTAAAGTCACACTGAATTAGAAATGATAATTCAAACAAACAAGGATAACATACATTTTGTCTAAAGCCGTTATACCTAAGCTAACGTTAGGATTTCACGAAAATCTAAGCTAGTTAGCTAGTTAAATGATTTAGCTCAACTCAAAATATACTGTAAATATAATCAGTTAGGTATCAAACTAAAAGTGTAAAATAAGATTGCAAGATGTGTTTTCAGTAGGCTAAAGCTAACGTTAGAAAAAAAGGGGCATACGGGAGGCTAGCTTTATAACAATCAGATTATTTTTCAATGATTTAGTTTTAAGCATATTGAATGTAACTCAAAATATACTGTAAATATCATCAGTTGGCTATCAAACTAAAAGTGTAAAAATAAGATTGGAACGTGTGTTATCAGTAGGCTAAAGCTAACGTTAGGAGTTCAAGAAAAAGTAAGCTAGTTAGCTAGCTAAATGTTTTGTTAAATAGTATGGCAAAAAGTATCTTTCACACATTCCCTGCACTTTGCTGGACGAATGTAAACAGCATAATAAAAACCCTTCTAGGCATCTAGCAAATTAACAGAAGTGAAGCATTGTAGATCAACTATGATAGAACAACCAAGAAGCACTGATGTAAACAGAATATGCCTCTTCTCACCTCATAACTTAGAGGTCAAATCTTTCCTTTTTTTGTTTGCAGTGAGGTTGAAGCAGCTCAAGTTGATGTGATGGAGATATATCCTGATCTCTTCGCATGTGTTTACAAGTTTGCCAAGACTCAAGGGTGGAATTCAGAGACCCCGTTGAAGGAAATGTTCCTTAGAGAAGACATCAGCACCAGCTTTACATCCACAAGCCCTGAGGAGCCTCTGTCTGTCCCCGTACAAGAGTCTCAACCCAGCGACTTGAAGTGAAGAAGTACTTGAGTCTTGTAAGCAGTCAGAGAATAAAAGCACAAGCAATTCTGAATACGCCTGTAAGGCTTTGCGTGTGCATTGTACATAGGAACTATTTCCAAAGGCTGACAGTAAGTGTACTGTAGTTCAATTTTAGGGACCTTTTTCCTACATTTAAAAAAAAGAAAATCACTTTTTAAAAACATTATTATGATGAACTATGCTACCTGTATTTGCAACATAATTGTTTCATGGCTTCAGTCTATTTCTTTTACCACTTATTATACACAAGGGATATGATGAATACAAACATCAGGAAATTGAAAAAGTTAAACCACTGAATTAGCTGCATCTCAAATTAATAACTATTTTGATGCATCAATATTACCAGTAAAGTACCTGAGACTGACGAAGTTCCTTATTTTAAAGATTTTACTGTTGACATTTTTCTTTCCACTATAGTTTAAAAAAAATCACATTTACATTTTAGAATATTTTATAATTTTGTATTACCATGGTATTGCTATAATATGTTGGGGGAGCAGAAAGTGAGGGAGTTGATATAATGAACTCTGAACTACACATACATTGACACTGATAGAAGCTCTTTAAGTGTTTCAGTGATGTCAGGGAAACAAACATACATACACTGTTGTACTAATAGAATCATTTAACTTTTTATTTTTCAACTAAAACTTTAAAAGGCTCCTCACTGAAGAAGTGATAGCTCAAATGTATGAACAAAATAAAAATACATCATTTGTTTGTCTACAAATGAAGGAAACTATGTGTTTATGTAAATATGTTCACTCTCGTTGAGAGGCTTTTTCCGTCTGTCATTCTCTTCTTACTAATACTGAATGTTAACTTACAAGCTACAAAATGTGCATACAACATGGACTGCAATGCCACTACCTGTTTGTCACACAAAAACTGAACAGAACTTTGCACTTACTTTAAAAAAAACAAATACAAAAACATTACTGCACCTTGCAACTTAAAATATACATTAAAAAAAGGGTGTTTGCTAAATTATTTTTAAATGATCCTAACAAACTCAGAAGTCTACAAGTGCATGGTATCGATCTCTAGTTCCAAGTGTCCTTTAATACAGCATGATGTGAATTTCAAAAATGATGTTCTCTTTTTGAGTAAAATAGACGATCAAGCAGCGTATGCTTATGGTCGGAGCAAACTTGTGATTGACAGGTTGCTACAACAGTGTTATTTGCTTTTGGTGTGTCCAGTGTTTAATATATTTAAAGAACATAAAATATGCTTAATAAGGACCAAGTGTAACATTACATTGGATGGGATTCCATGTTTCACAATTTGATACCAAAAAATGCTTCAAACTCATCAATAGTTGCCATAGTGACAGAACAGTTTTTGTAAGTGCTCTATAACTGAAGTTTTTTATGGCAACATATCTTTCCTGGTAACATCATGTTTTCTTATTCCCACAGAAACTGTGAAGCAAAGAAGTGAATATCATCCCACAGTTACAAATGGAGCAAGCTTCTGCTAAAATCACCCTACTACTGGGACAGCTTTGTTCACATGAGCAAACTGACTATAAAGGCATTCTGGAAGAATTAGTTATGATAACACGGACAACAAAAGGCACCACAGACTGGGATCCCAACTTTATTGAGGAGGTTTGCAAGACGATTGCTCCTTTTGTGTGTCAAGACTACTCTGATGAGATTCGAGCCTTAATTCATAACTGTTACATGTCTAATATGTGTAATATGTAACGTAAAACGCTTTGAGCACATGGAAAAGTGCTCTAATATTTTTTTTTAATGAATTATCATTATTATTATTTAAGCAAAGTAATTTATGTGGTGTTGAATCTTTTGTCTACAATTGATGTGTGAAAAATAACAGATGGCCCTAGGGACGTGGCTTGGGAACCGGAAGGTCACCAGTTCAAGTCCCTGAAAGACCAAGTGCTACCAAGGTGTCCCTGAGCAAGGCATTGTTCCCCACACTGCTCCCCGGGTGCCGTACATATGGCAGCCCACTGCTCTTAATACTAGTATTGGTGAAATGCAGAATGTAATTGATCATCCCACAGTTGTCACAGAGGTGGGATCAAGGAATCCTTTCTTCTTCTCCTAAACTGTACATGCAAACTTGAGTATCTAAATAAATGAGTTAAAAATCTGATTGTTGTTTTATCATGTTTGTGATTATGTTCTATGGTAATGGTAGGCTATGTATATCAGTCAGGGATTATCTCTCCCCTCTTAATGCTCTTAAACATATTTGTTCTATAATACAAAGTGCTTTGAATATTAAAGGAGGCTCAGTTCATTAATGTCAAAGGATTTAAAAAGCATATTATCTCAATAGTTGTATTTATTTAATAGTTTGTATTCCATCTAGTATTTCATTTAACTGTCTGATTTACTGTTATTCCACCATATGATGCCTTCGTGCTTTTATTGTGAAGGAAACCTTCAATTTACATTGTATTCCTCTAAAAAGAGCGCTTCAGTTTAACTATTTTACAGAAACATTTATTTTATAGTGTCACATATGGAAAAGTGTTGAATTCATATCAGAATTATTGCTCAAAACGCATATTTTTTTGACAATACTTTTATTTTCATCACTGTACCGGAAGTCGTATATTTTTTCCCCACATCTCATTCCGCGCGAATTGACAGCGGAGCCAAATACAGTGACACCGCATCCGGATAAACAAACGGGGGAGTGGCGGCTCGGACTGAGGCGGACAGGCAGCCTGTATCCTGACATTGTTTTGCAAAATATTCCGGATAATAATGCAGTCTTCCAAGAGGAGCGAGAATGACTGGCAGGGGCTGGTGAGCGAGGTGAGTGAGACCGGGAACAGCTGTGCAGAGGCGGACTACTTTTACCGAAGCTCCGGTGTCCATATGGAACAGCTTTACTGTTTGAATAGACCGAGGAGCTGTGCAACATCACAAATAAACCCACTTTTTATTCGTTTTTTGTATGATATGCTGTCTACTGGTTGATTTAAGAGGTGACCATGTTATTTTGTCAGGCCTCCGGGTTGGAAATGCAGTGCCACATGCCCACATCCTTAACGCGACCTGATGCAACACACCTGTAGGGCTGCTGCATCTCTACATTGCTCGAATTAATCTTTAATGCTATTTAGAACTATTCGACTAAAGGGGGATATATTAAATAGACATTTATATTAGGCTAATGTTTAAAATGTTTTAAATATGGTGATAACTACAGTATATTAAAGTTGTGATAAATAAACAGAGATTAAAGTTTACTTAGTTTTTTGCTGCCTTTAATGCACTTCTAAAATACAACACATTGCTGTTGAAGTATTCGTATTAGCACTATCCTATAATAAAGAAAATGTACTTAAGAAAAATGTCTGCTTTGACTTTATTAATGTTAGATAGTTTCATTTTTATTTTAATACTTAGAATTGACAATTTGTCACTATTTTCTGAGGTTTTTCTGACCAAACAAACCATCCATTAAGTGGCAAAAATAACTGCCTCATTTAAATTGCATTAGTTGTATCTGTGAAAGAGTGGTTATCATGGCTGAGCTGCAGACACTACTACAAGCTGCTATTTAATTTGGTTATGAGCTGTACTGATGGATATGAAGCTTCGCTCTGTTCCCTCTGCTGTGTGTTATCTACATGTAAGGCACTTGGCTTCAGTGTGTGTTTTTCCACCTGTAGGGCACTGGTTGGGGTTGGTATTATTTGCACAGTTAAGTGTTTCTAACGAAGCTGGATGATACAGTTGATGTGAAAATGTTATATACAGTTGTACTCTTTGGCCCCTGGAATTAACACGAAAAGTGTCAGTGTCAGCAATTAAAGGGCAAAGCGGCCACAAGAATGCCCCGAAAGCTGTGATCAAACCAATGATCTGGAGAGTCACAGTCCCTAACCTGTGCTCTGTGATGGTGTGTGTGCGGTGTTTGTAGTTCCTGGTGTGTAAGCGGAAGCTGGAGAGTAAGAAGGAGGCTCTGCTCATCCTGTCTAAGGAGCTGGACACCTGTCAGCAGGAGAGGGATCAGTACCAGCTGATGGCCAACCAGCTGAGGGAGCGCCACCAGGGACTGAAGAAGAAGTACAGGGAGCTCATCGTGAGTGCTCATGTTGATCTGTCCTCAGTATTTTCTCTACACACACGTCATTTTCCCCTGTCCCCGTGCACTCTCCATGTGGACTTCCAGTTTAAATACTAAACTCTTTTCATATTTTAGGACGGTGACCCCTCTTGCCACCAGAAAAATGCAATCAAGTAAGTTGTGGTTAAAATCAAGGACTCCATGTATGCCACTGATGCCAAAAGTATTTCTTACTAAAGCATATCTTATATATCTGCTATATGAGTACTGTATTTTTGTTAAAGTTTTGCTAAGATTGTACATTTTCAGTGTCAAAATAATATCCACTGACTTTATATGTTCTAATGCTGTGTTCACACCGGACGCGATGCGACGTTTGGGGGCGGCGCGATTACATGTAAAGTCAATGCAGAGACGTGGACAGACGCGAATTCGCTCCGACGGCGCGCATGAAGCGGTGGACGCAGCGCGAATCACACGATTGAGGCGATTGAACGGTGCCGCGTTAAACGCGAGAGTTCAATTTTTTCAACTCGAGCGTCAAATTCACGTGACGCGTTCTCGCGGAAGCCAATCAGCGGTGAGGATCTCAGCCGCCGTCACTGACGTTCAACCACACAACATCAGCCGTTAGCTGTTAGCAGTTAGCACACAGAGCTCACAGCTCCTCATATCCGTTCAGAAACTGGACAAAAGTTAAACAAGTACAAACCACAGACTGTCTGTGTCATGGTGAATACAGTCGCTGCTTATTTATGTCTGTAGGCCGTTGTTATGAGTGTGGAATGAGCATATACAACGTTAGCTTAGCCTGGTCGACCCGATCTTCATTCAGAAAACAAGCATTTTAAAAGGTGTTTTGCCTGCCGTCTTGTCTGCAGACTTGTCAAAGCATTAATTCATGGTTGTTACTAACCGGTATCAGTATGTTGTTACTTCGGCATCATTTAGAAACGTGTATTACAATTTAATCACGGTAAAATATGTTCATTTGTTGTAGTTGTAGCTCCCGAGCCAGCGCGTCTTGTTTGAATGATGCGAGTAAACACAGCTGGCAGCCGCGGTGAACCTCCAGCGTTTAGAGCGATGCGATAGGAGCGATTAGAGCGAAGCGAATAGTCGCATCGCGTCCGGTGTGAACGCAGCATTAGTTCTCTTTTATGATTCAGTCTCTCAAAGGTTTCAAACATAGGAAAATGTTTGGGAAAAATAATACAATAAATAATACTTTTTTAATAATCTAGATTTATTTTATGAATGTTATTATAATACTTATTTTAATATGTATATATATTTAAAATATACAGTAAAGAAATAAATATTCTACTTGTGGTTGACACTGGAAATGTGATTATTAAGAGTTATATTGTCTTATTTTGTTTGTTTTCTTAATCTTCACTTGTTTACAGAATTTACTTTCTAGATGTGATGTGGCCAATATCTAGACATCTTGTTTAACAGTTATTTATTATTGTATAATCAGAGTTTAGTCAGCTACAAGTGTAATATAGGTTAGAAATCAGCCGCAAAATAAGTGTTAAAGGAGAGGTGTCATGGCCATTTCCACTGATCATAATTCCATTGTTGAGGTATACTAAAATAGATTTATACTGTGCATTTTTCCAAACTCACATTGGTTTCTCATACAGCATCTCTGTAAACTACATGTATTCACTGAATTTCACTCTCTGCCTTTAACGGCTCGTTGTAGCTCCAATAGCTCCAGCCCCCACCCTCCCTGTGAGCACAGTGTGCTCTGATTGGTCGGGACGTTGTGAATCGCGCAGAGCTCCGTGGAGGTGTTGTTTCCTTGTTTAGCATACATAGCGAAACACAGCCAAACTCATCCTGAGCACACACAAACTCACAGCCGAAGTAAAAACAATAAGTGTGGCTTGATATTGAGTAAGAAAAAGGTTGATAAACGCTGTGAAAATGGGTCTGCAGAGAGAAATTCGCCGCGATCCCAACTGTCTGTTATCAGCCTGCAGCCAGGGAGGAGAAATCAGCAGAGAGTGTGTGTGTGTGTGTGGAAGTCCGTGGATTGGTCAATTTGGACCAATCAGCGGGGGCTTAACGTAACGGCTCCGCGGACGTGATGTAACGTAACGGCTCCACGGATTGGTCCATTTCGTTCCGGGTACCGCATGACCGTATAGCTCTGGGTGTGGCTACTGGGTGTTCACACGTCACAATGTCCAGGAAGAACATGAGAAATCTCCAACGAGGCGTTTTGGGGAGGTCTTTTCTGTGTTAGAGTTTTACTCCCTACAGGGTGTACTTTGAGGGTTTTTGACTCTGCAGACCATTTACATGCATAAAAACCTTCATAACACACAAGGGGACGGGTAATAACCGGAAAAGCAAGACACCTCTTCTTTTAATATAATTCTAAATGAAGTATAGAATAGTTAATACAATGTAATACAAAATGAACACGATTACCATTTTAAATATATTTTTCAATGAGAATAATGATCAAACCCTCTCATATCATGAATTATATTGTTATTGCAATATCAGCCAAATAATCGCAATTAGTAATATTTCCAAATCATGCAGCCCTAATCTCCATGACGATCCACGTGGCCAATCACCAGCTGTTTTCACGATTCTCCTCCACCTTCTCCTCAGGTGAACCTGGCTCAGCTGCTGAGAGACTCCAGGGAACGAGACAAAAAGCTGACGGAGGAGGTGAAGGAGCTGGCGCAGAGGCTGACGGAGGCCCAGGGGGACAACAAGGTGAGGTGACCTGCAGTACATGTGACCCCCCCCCCCCCCCGCCCAAACACAGACACATCCAGTGCATGAGTAGATGTGTTTGAGGGAAGCAGTGAATTTAACTTGTTTTTCCACAGCTGCTAAGGCTGACCATAACTCGACAGAGGCTCGGCGATGAGGAGGTGGGGCCGCGGCATTTCCCCCCCCCATGAACGTGAGGACCTTGTTCCCCAGCTGGAGAGAGCAGGGCTCCAGGTTGATGAATGTTCTTACTTTCTACACAAAAAATCGACATACTGAACCCAGAAAAGCTTCTTATTTTAGATGGTCTCGCATCAAGACTCTAGTAATAAATATTACTTTAATAATGGAGTTTTCTAGGAATATTCACCCCTATCAAGTAGTGGCGGTTCTAAACCAAGTTTAAAGACAGTATAAAGTAATTGTGTAAAATAAACATAAAATACAGTAATTGGTATTTGTTTTTGAAAAGGTATTTGTTTTAGTACATTTAAGTTACAGTCCTTTGTTTCAGTAGTTTTTTATTTATTTAGAGTATTTGTTTTAGTAACTTTAAGTGACAATTGAATTAAAACACATAAACAGTATTTGCTTTTATAGAAGGTAATGAACAGTTTAATCTCCACTGGACATCCAGGTCTCTGATTTGATTTAGTTCCAATAAATCTTGATATTGTTACCTTTTCTTTGGAGGGGGGCCACAGGGGGGTCCCTGGTCAGTGTTACGGGGGCACTGGCCCCTGTTGGCCCCCCTTAGAACTGCCCCTGCTATCAAGGCTCCGTCCGTAATCGTTTGAATTTTTTTTTGCCAACAATTAACATAATAAGCTGTTGTACATGCCTGACTCTCACCCCATTACTACCATCACTCCCTTACGATACATCCACACAGTGTAGTAGTAGGAGGCTTATCATTTGGTGGTGTTGAATTGGATTTCATTAGGTTGATGAAAATATTCTGTTCCCTCCTTAAAACCTGCTTTTGAGGTGTTCTTAAAAGCAATTCACCTGTATGTGCTCCTGTAGAGCCTCTCACTCAGCTGAATACAGTATCCAAGGTTTTACAGGTGGGAGCTCCTACACTGCGAACAACTTCCTATGCCCGCTCAGCAAACTCTAACGTCTTTCTGGTTGTCTTTTTCTAGATGGAGGAGATGGAGCACAACATGAAGGCTCTGACCGACGAGCTGCAGGACGTGAAGGTGGAGCGCGGCGTGTTCAGGGAGAAGACCTACCGCCTCAACGTGGAGCTCAACCACGTCCTGGGCAACCGTGAGGCACGCATCATTGATGTGGATGCCCTCTGCATGGAGAACAGGTGAGTGGGACAAAAGATCTTTGGGAACTACTTTCCCATATCTCCAGTTCTAGAGAGGCCATGTGTTTTCTACAAGCTGCAGATTCCCAGACACTTGCTTTCACTCTAAGTAACTGCTTCCTGTGTAGACATGTCTCCATATTTACCCTCTTTCTTTTGCTTTACTGGGTGTAAACACATCAGAATTATTCTGTTTTGGAAATAAAGAGAAGAATATCTCTTTATAAAGAGAACACAATATATTGTAAAAGCTGAAAAGTGAAGTTAAAGATATAACCACATCTTTAAACGTGTTTTTTTTTATTATTTCAAATGTTTCAGAGACATTTGTAATTTTAATTAAGCTAACGGTGAGTTTCCTCTGGTCTATTGTGAGAGAATTGTCATATATTGACTTTTTATTCAGTTTTTAGCCACATTTTCATCACAAATTATTCGTTGCTGATGCAGGTATTTACAGGAGCGGTTGAGCCAACTGCAAGAGGAGGTGAACCTGCTGAAATCCAACATCATGAAGTACAAGGTACAGATGGAGGGCCTCTGACTCTGACGATTCATTTGACTTCACGAGAATGTGTATTCTTAAACGGTGGCACTGCAAGCTTTATTCCTCCTTTCCCCCCCTCCAACAGACAGCTCTTGAGAGGAGGAAGAACTCCAGCCCTCTAGTGGTTTCATTTGTTCTTAAGAATAATCTTCACTTATTTGCCCACAACCCATTTTTGTAGACATATTTTCAGCAAATATCATATATTTTGTTTAAAACTGTACATATTTAAAAGCTACACGCCTACCAGCTGAGAGCTTAGGACTCTTTACTAAAGGACAGAGGTTAGACATCTGAATACAAAAGCAGGTATGGCTATAAAGTTAAACTGTAAAAGCCACTCAAGGCTTATTTAAGTGAATACAATATGAGACGGCCTAGAGATGTTGAGTTAGTTATGTTGGACATGATTGGACTTTATGGACCCCCCTTTTTTGGGTCTAGTTTGAGGTCCAATGAGGGGCCCTCTTTGAGGAGGAGGACTTTCCCCACGCACCGTGATGGAAGATTCCCACATATTTGGAAGCCCTTTTTATTTGTGGTTTGTGTTTTGTTCATAATGTACATGTTTACATATTGCAGAGTGGTTTTGGGAGCACATATTGAGGAAGCAGTAAAACGTAAGGATGTCTAACAGTACCAATATAGTGTCGCTGAATGTAAATGGTCTAAGCACACCAAAGAAAAGAGAGAGGGTTATAAGAAAATTGAAAAAGGAAGATGTACAAATCATATTCCTTGAGGAGACCCATTTATCCAAATTAGAACATGAGAAACTGAGAAGGTATGGTTTCATAAATGTATACTATAGTTCATATAAGGAGGGGAGGAGAAGAGGAGTTGCAATATTAATATCCAATCAAACCCAATTTGAATATGAAATCAAAGACAAAGAAGGAAGGTATATCATAGTTAAAGGAAGATTAGAAAATGAACCAATAACACTGATAAATATATATGCACCACCAGAAAGCCATAAAAACTTTTTCTCTGTTCGATGTAATTGCTGTAGAAACAAAGGGAATCTTAATTTGCGGTGGAGATTTGAATGTTGTTATGAACCATAGTAAGGATACAACTAGTCACAAAAGATCCAAACAGCAATTATCAAAATTCGTAAATATATCACTCAAAGAAATCGGGATGATAGATGTATGGAGAACCCTACATCCTTTGGAAAAAGACTTTACACATTTCTCGGCCGCCCATAAGGTCCACTCAAGGATAGACTATTTTCTCATTAATGTAAATGATATTCACAGGGTAAAGGAATGTAGGATAGGAGGGGCAGATGTGTCGGACCACAATCCAGTCTTCTTAAAAATATGTTTAAATAACAGGACATGACACACTGTCTGGAGACTCAACGCTGGAGTATTACATAGTGAACAAAGAGAGGAGAGAATAAAAGCAGAAATTAAAAACTACATAGAGGAGAATGACAATGGAACAGTAGACCCTACACTCCTATGGGATGCCATGAAAGCGGTCATCAGAGGGAAATTGATAGCTGAAACTGCAAATGCAAAAAATATTAAATTAGAGGCATATAGAAAATATTCAAAAAGGTTAAGAGAATTGGAAAGGGAATTTCAGAATACAAAAGAAACAGACTAAGAAATCAAACATTTGAGAACAAAGATAAATGATTTACTACTTGATGAAATTGAAAAGAGGAACATGTTTGTGAAACAAAACTATTATGAAACTGGACCCAGAGCCACTAAACTATTAGCAAAACGTTTACGAAAACAAGTAATTAACACTATTAATAAAATTAGGGAACCAGATACAAACGTGCTGACGTATACACCGGAGAATATAGAAAGAATCTTTCAGGATTACTACAGGCAATTATATACACAACCGACATCTGCAGATAAAGAGGAAATTAGGGCTTTTTTCAAACTCACTAGACTTACCGTCAATTGGCAACATACAAAACGATGTTCTTACAGCGGACATCACAATAGAGGAGGTGAATAGCGCAATAAGTGCATTAAAAAATAATAAATCTCCAGGTAGTGATGGATACCCTGCGGAGTGGTACAAGATGTTTAGAGAAGAGCTGGCACCGCTTCTACTATCCTCTTTTAATTGGACAATCCATAATAACAAGATGCCACCATCATGGACTGAGGCAATCATTTCAGTCATACCTAAACCAGGGAGGGATAAAGAACACTGTGGAAACTATAGACCCATCTCAATATTGAACGTGGACTATAAAATATACACAAAAATTATTTCTAAGCGACTGAACACTTTTATATCAGAAATTATAGAAGAAGACCAGACAGGATTCCTAAGCCAACGTCAAACACAAGATAATATTAGAAGGACTCTACATATAGTGGACCATGCACAACATACTAAACAAAGTACTATACTAGTAAACATTGATGCAGAAAAAGCATTTGACCGGGTAAATTGGGAATTTTTGTATCAAGTATTGGAACGATTTGGATTTAATAAGAATAATGCATAAGAACATTATATCAAAAACCAACGGCTAGAATCAAAATGAATGGAAGCTTGACAGACAAAATTGACCAACTACTACACCATCAACAATGATTGGGGACACATTTAATCTTAATTGGAATTTTAAGCAAATAAAGTATTTGGGTGTCATCATTACTAGGGGATTCAATAAAATATACAAAGCAAACTACAATAAGATAAATCAAGAGATACAAAAAGATATCGAGAGATGGTCTACTCTACCACTAGACTTTACCTCAAGAATTGAGACGGTGAAAATGAATCTTCTGCCACGACTTCTCAACCTGTTCCAATCCCTGCCAGTGGAGGTTCCCCAAACTCAATTTGCAACATGGGACAGGCAAATATCAAGGTTTATTTGGGGGGGGGGGGGGGCAAAAAACCCAGAGTAAAGTATGAAACTCTCCAGTTACCTAAAAACAAAGCGGGCATGGACCTTCCAAAACTAAAGGAATACTATAATGCTGCCCAATTAAGATATGTTGTATGCTGGTGCAAACCAGATTACACATCAAAGTGGAAGGAAATAGAAAAGAAATGTGTTGAATATCCGATCCAGAATATTATTGGCGATAAAGAAATATACAAGATAATACAGAACCAACTAGATTTAATTACATCCTTCACTCTGAAATTATGGTTTCAAATAGTTAAAAAGCACGGGATAGGGAAAGATATACATTTACTAAAATGGGTAGCATTTGATAGTAGTTTTAAACCGGCTGGATACGATAAGGGATTCAAACTATGGGTAACCAAGGGGATTACAGCATGGTGCACTTTAGAGAAGGATGGGGAGCTGGAGAGTTTCCAGAATTTGAAGGATAAATATGATCTGGATAAACATGACTTCTACAGGTGCTTACAAATAAGGGACTACTAAAAAAAGCTAATTAAAAGAAGTGAATGGTGTGATTCAAATCATAACTAATTCATACAAAGAAACCAAAATTAGAATCATAACTGCTCTATACAAAGTATTGTCCTGAAATAAACATTCAACTAAATATATAAAAGAGAAATGGGAAACAGAATTGAACACAACCATTTCAGATGATGATTGGCAAAACATGTGGAAGATACATCAATCATCCACCAATTCACGGATATGGAGGGGATACTCATGGAAACATTTGATCAGATTTTTTATCACACCTAAGATTCAGAGTAAATACTTAAATACAAATCCTCTGTGCTGGAGAGAATGTGGAGAATCAGAGGCCAACCATGCACACATATTTTGGAAATGCTTAAGTTCTGGGAATCGATACACAAGGTTTTGCAAAAGATACTGAGTTATGATGTTCCTATGGACTACATGGTACTCTATCTGGGCAATTTTACAGAGGAAAATGTTCACTATAGATATCTTGTAAAAATACTGTTGATAGCTGGCAAGAAAGCCATAACTAGGAAATGGTGCAGGGTGGAGCCTCCTACTATGGAACAGTGGATGGGGATCGTGGAGGAGATTCATATAATGGAAAAAATGACATATCGACTGAGACGGCAAGAAACACAATATGAAGAGAAATGGGAGAAATTGTCAAAGTTTAAGATTCAAACCAGCGACAAGGAATACTGACTGATTGAATAAGAGGAACTGTTCTGACAAATGGTCAAATGAGAATGTGACTCCCGACTGCATTTTTATTTATTTTTTATTTTATATTATCTCTGTATTTGTATCTATAGCTGTATTGCATTGTTTATTTTGTTTGGGTTGTTATGTACGTGCACAGCTGTTGTTGTAATGTTTTTATATAATAAATGTCAAAAAAAAAACTGTACACATTTTACCAGAACCAGTGTCATATTTCATACATCCATTCACAGAGACATGTGCTGAGTGTGTTACCATACCATAAGCTTATTACTAACATGTGTTGTTGTTGTCCTCAGGTTCATTGAGAGTAATAAGATGGAGACTGCATCCAAATATTCCTTCAGAGGACTCAGGGACTTGACACACTTGTATGTTCTAACCTTTACAATCATTCCCATACATTGTTAAGACATCTCATCTGTAATATTTATTCGCTAAAGTCATTTTTTAATATGAAGCCATTGTGAACCATTGTAGGTGATGCTTAATAATTCACATTTTATTCAGAATAAGGGTAACAGCGTTGAACATTAATATTGAGTATATATCAAGAATATTAGTTTTTTCTTCAGTGTTTCCAGTCATTAAAGTGTTACTTGTACCTTAAGTCTATAAATATGATGCATGTTTTTCCATTTTCTGTCATTGGAGTTATGATTTTCTTAATATGTGCCATTTTCTGTATTGATCAATGCCTGTATTTTCCAGGTCTTTGGCAAACAACAACATTAAAGCATTACCTCGGGACGTTTTCAACGACTTGGACTCACTGATAGAGCTGTGAGTTTCATAATCCGTATCAAAAATGAATCCCGGGTCCCATGCATTTCTTCTAATGTATGTTTTAGCTACTTTGTTCATCTGCAATGAAACTGAGGACCTCTCTTCTGCAGGGACCTGCGAGGCAATGCTTTCGAGTGTGACTGCCGAGCGAAGTGGCTGATGACGTGGCTGAAGAACACCAACGCCACGGTTTCGGATGTCGTGTGTGCTGGACCAGAGGACATGAAGGACAAGCGCCTCAATGATATGACCAGCCTGCACAACGAGTGCGTCTCAACAGGTGAGAAACACCTGAGCCAGATGGCCTTGTCTCTGTTCTAAGTGGCATCAGGCCACTCGACCAGGTCATCCCAACAAGTGTAAAGAGGAGGCAAAAGTGTGGGGTTTCTAAATTCAGAATGTGCCTTTTCTGCAGATTTCGTCCTCCATCAGTCCCTGGCATCTGAGTCTCTGTCTGTGGACACATTCAGCTATAAGAACGACGTCTATGTGACGATAGCTGCTCCCAGCGCAGAGAGCTGTATGGTTTTCCAGTGGGACCACATAGAAATGAACTTCAGGACGTATGATAACATCACAGGTACGGCAAATGTTTTAACTGTGGATGCTGTTGTTACATTTTGAGAGTTTGGGCCATTTTGCTTCATAAAATGTCGGCCATTTTGTCTTCTTTCTGAATTTTGAGAAGGAAAAATACACATTTAAGAGTTTTTCTTACTGCGTTTTTGTGTTTGTAGATTCAGTAGCATTCCCATTGTTTACAGTTTTTACTGATCTATGGAATGATGCAAATAAATATCCTAAAATCCCTCTGTACAAACCTTTAACTCTGATAGGTTTGAATTTACAAATAGAGAATTTTCCACCTGGCATTATACTGTATTCAAGTTTCTGTACTAGTAATGTATTCAAATTAAATTAGCACATATTTGATACAAAATAATGGCTAATTTGCATATTTAAACGCAGCATTTCAGAAAACCTGTCCAGCCAGTAGTGAGCTGGGGAAGTTTGAAAGTGTTTTTCAATAACAACCTTTTACAATTTGGTATTGGCCCATTTATTTTTATTTCTCCGCCTTTCAGGTCAGTCCATTGTGGGGTGCAAGTCAGTGGTCATCCAGGACCAGGTGTTTGTCATCGTGGCTCAGCTGTTTGGTGGCTCCCACATCTACAAGTTTGATGAGGACCAAAGCAGCTTCAGCAGGTTTCAGGACATCGAGGTGTCCAAGATCTCCAAGCCCAATGACATTGAGGCGTTCCAGGTGGGCTCTGACTGGTTCTTTGTGATTGCTGACAGTTCAAAAGCAGGCCTGTCCACCCTCTACAAGTGGAACGATAAGGGCTTTTATTCCTACCAGTCGCTGCACGAGTGGTACCGCGACACAGACGCAGAGTTCCTGGACTTGGATGGGAAGGCGCACCTTATCTTGGCGAGCCGCTCGCAGGTGCCTGTGATCTACCAGTGGAGCCGGAGCAACCAGAAGTTTGTCCTGCAGGGAGAGATCCCTCACATGGAGGACGTTGTAGCTGTGAAGCACTTCCGGATCAAGGAGGAACTCTACCTGGCTATGACGCGCTATATTGGTGACTCCAAAATCCTTCGTTGGGGTACCAAACAGTTTACAGAGATCCAGGCCTTGCCCTCACGAGGCTCCATGATTCTCCAGCCTTTTTTTTTCAAAGAGCGTTACTACATGGCTCTGGGAAGCGATTACACCTTCTCGCAGATCTACAAGTGGGATGATGAGAACAAACTATTTGACCGCTTCAAGGACGTGTACATCCAGGCACCGCGCTCCTTCACTGTGGTTTCCACCGACCGCAGGGACTTCATCTTCACCTCCAGCTTCAAGGGAAACACGCAGATCTTTGAACACATCATGATTGACTTGAGCTTGTGAGGGGCCTTGTCATGGCCCCCGAAAGATTGGTGGAGGGGGGAAAAAAGGACTAAAACACACTTTTTCAATTTCAATCCCTTCATTCGTTTCCGTCCCAAGTAAAAGCTGGGTAAAGATGTGTTTAGAATTCTTATAGTTTTCAAGCTTGATGGCCTTGTCCAAATATCTGTTTCCATGGTCTTTCAGACTTCAGAGACTGAGAGCGGGAGTCAAGAGGGTGGACAAGCGTAAAAGGAGGCTGGTATTCTCCTAAAAATCCAGCTCACATTCCTGAAGGTGGAATACTTTCATATCATTTGGATCTATTTTCAGTTTAATATCCCCTATCCTAATGGTTTTATACCCTAACTAATATACAACAAGACCTAAGAGAAGTATCATATTATTTTCTTATGTTCTCATTAAGGGCATGTAACAGGTGTGGTTGCTCCTCGTGTGCCACTTACCTCATGCCCTCATGTGGTGATTGTTGCCTTATCAGCTCTGGGGTTCTGTGTCCTGATTGGCCCACAGTGCCTCCCTCTGGCCGTGATGAAGTATCACACCCCTTTGCTTTTTCCAAACAGGGAATGTCTTGAAAGCACAAACCTTTAATTATCCTAGGTGAGACCCCAGCCCTTAGAGTGTAGTTGTTACGAGACGAATGTTACTGTAGGTGCTATAGATTATATCGCTTACAGTAAATAAGGTACCAGTGGTTTGTGAGGTGGAGAAATATTCAGGACTGGATATAGCTAATGCCTTTTTAGACTAACATGTGAATGGAATCAACTTTTAGACCAGACGAACTATAGTAGAAACTGATAGAAGTGTTTCAGGGAACAAACCTACATACAAATTAAAAAAGCAACCCGAGTTGTTGTACTACTGACATCATTTAACTTTTTCTTTTTCAACTAAAACTTTAAAAAGCTCCTCACTGAAGAAGTGATAACTCACATTTATGAACAAAATAAAAAGACATAATTTGTTTGTCTACAAATGAAGGAAACAATGTGTTAATGTAAATATGTTCACTCTAGTTGAGAGGCTTTTTCCGTCTGTCATTCTCTTCTTACTAATACTGAATGTTAATTTACAAGCTACAAAATGTACATACAACATGGACTGCAATGCCACTACCTGTTTGTCACACAAAAACTGAACAGAACTTTGCACTTACTTTTAAAAAAACTAATAAAAAAACATTACTGCAACTTGCAAGCGCATGACATTCAAAAAAGGGTGTTTGCTCAATTATTTTGAAATGAACCTAACAAACTCAGAAGTCTACAAGTGCTTCTTCTCATTAAGAGAATGGTATTGTAATTTTAAAAAAGCATACTGGAATATGCAAGCTTTATAACATGCGGGTTATTTTGTATGATTTTGTTTTAAGCATATTGAATGTTACTCAAAGTATACTGTAAATATAATCAGTTGGGTATCAAAATAAATGTGTAAAAATAAGATTGGAAGGTGTGTGTTATCATTCATTGGTCATCAGGATGAAAGGGCTCAGTCATTATGTCAAACCCAGAGTAAATTATCCAATGACTGCAGTTGCTCTCATTTAGTGTCTTTTAGCTTTGTTTTGATAGGCTGCAACTTCCGGGTTTAAAAGTGATTTAAAACCTGCATTTTCCCCGGTTGCAAAAAAGTCAGATTCTATCAAAGACTATAAGAAATTACCATAAATATCACTTTTCTGACCTTACATTTTCCTGACAAGTGCATGGTATCGATCTCTGGTTCCAAGTGTCCTTTAATACAGCATGATGTGAATTTCAAAAATGATGTTCTCTTTTTTAGTAAAAATAGACGCGAAAGCAGTGTTTGCTTATGGGCGGAGCAATTGTGTGATTGACAGGTTGCTACAACAGTGTTGTTTGCTTTTGGTGTGGCCAGTGTTTTGGTTTTCGAACCTTAACCCTTTCACATTGTGTTTTTAGTTAATGGTGAAATAATTCTTAACGTATCTGTGACTATATCCACATTTTGTATTCACTCAAAGGCTGCAACTTCACTGGTTTGGTTTATTGGATTAAGCAGCAGGTGGATTTTCAGTGAAAAAGCTCTCATGAGACATGGTGCATTACCTGCTAATCTAAAAAATGCAGAAATGTTTCAATACACACATTATGTCACCATCCACCATAATGTATTTCAATGTGAGCTTTCACAGGAGGCCTCTGCTCACAGTTAAAGCACAATGCAAATGAGCACTGTAAAAAAGATAAGGACTGTGACATCATAAATCTACAGTTCAACAGTCAGTCGGCAGTAATGGGTTACAAATGAACAAATCAAGAGTTTGGGGTCAAGATGGCCGCTTCCTTTACAGATATACACATCAGATATACAGTGGGAGGGGTGTAGATTACCAGCCACTGAGATTCGTTGGGTTTCCGGCTGGAATACAATAGGTAGAGGGGCAAATAGATGGCTACATCTGTATCGCTGATCTGGCCTCCCGATCATTTAAAGCTGTTACCTTTACAAATCCGCTAGGCACTAACATCACATGTGCACATCTACATTACAGAGTTACATAACATGTAGCTGATAACACCTCTAACTCAGAATGCTTCATATCCTAACCCTAAACCCATTTTATGTGCCTAGTTTGACGGTGTAAGTAGCACAGTTTACTGCAAAAAGTCCTACCACAGCAGAATTATACAATCTGAAAGTTGAACCATTTTCAGATAAGAACCTGTTTGTCTTTCTGTTATCCATTAGAAAGATGGAAGAAAGGCTTATGTACACCAACAGCTTAGTTTAATTAGCTTAAAAACTGTTTTTCTGTCAATGACACGGTTGTTGGTTCTTCTATAACTCCAGCAGTAGCCCAAAAAGTTTAGGTTCCTGGTTATTTACACTGTGTTGTCTTGGAAATGCAGGCTGCCATTTAAGATATCACATTTTTTAAGATAAAAAATGTGTTTAAAAAATAGGAATTCTTCGCTTTCCACGAATAGACAGGTTGGAAGTAGCTGATCCTGCTTTGATTCTTAAGATTTAAGTGCTATTTCTTGTGCATTTATTTATTTAAATATATTATAAAAGTTCCTGCTGTGCCCTCTATGATAATGGCAGTATGTAAGTATAGCAAAATAAATGCAAATGCTTTGAGAACCTCTGTCTTGTAAACGTGCAAACCCTACTTTAAATAACTTTAGTATAGTTCCTGCCTCATACTGTCGGAGAGACTGTCTAAAGAGACATAGAGGGAGCGGTAAAGACTGTTGGAAACCCCCACCATTCACGCCCAGCTGGTCCCTACAAACAGAGAGAGGCAGAGAGGAAGAGTGCCAGAGTCGGATAGGACAGAAAAAGCACAGCATGTTAAGTTTTGATAAAACTCGTACTGCTGCAGACACCCCACGTTGACATCGTAAGTTAATTTCTCTTCAATCCTCTAATACTGTTTTAGTTTTAAAATTGTACTTTAGAATAATCCGTGTGGTCTCCTAAGACGAGCACACTCATGTTGCCTTTCTCCTGTTCATGATCCATTCTTATGGTTATTTGATGTAATTTATAATGAATGTTTATTTAGTAACACTATATATTTCATCCTTGTTCCTATGACCCAAAGCTATAAAAGGATTTCCACAGCAATGGTCATTTAAAGTTGAATTCTGGTTTCCAGCCTGAAGGAGGAAGTTCAAAGTCTAGAATGGTTAGTGAGGCACAAGGTGTGGCACTCACTCCTCTCAGGTGTTATGACATCTGTATTTGTACAGTGCTGTATGTAGTCATATAGACGGCTTCTGACTGAGTTCCCTCAGGTTAAAGGATCTGTATCTCCCTAAATGTAGTCTTGGTAAATGGAATATGGTTTCGAAAGCATTCTATAATTACATGCTAACATTGTAAAAGTAATAGATTTTGGCTGCTTGTCAACAATTTAAAGTGGCACCAAATATTGGAAAAGTAACATCATAGTTTTCTCTTTTTTGTCACAGGTACCTTGAAACCAAGAAATGAATATCATTACACAGGTACAACTGTTTCATCCCCCAAATGAAACACATCTTATAATAAAGAGTATTATTAACAACAACCTCAAGAAGCTCAAGAAATTAGTAAAGGAAACCAACATTAATGAACTTTACCCATGCAAAGAAGTTGATGACTATATAACTCCACTGATAGCTGCTGTTGTAAATCACAATGAGGATATTTTGACATTCCTTTTGCATCGGGGTGCTGACCCAAACAAGGCTTCCAGTAGTGGCCTTACACCTCTGCATCATGTATCACTATCCAAAGCACCAGATATTTTTGTTGAGAAACTGCTTGAAGCCAAAGCTCATCCAAATGGATCGAATCCAATGTGTACCCCTCTGCACACTGCTGCCATCCATGACAGGGACGATGTCTTCAGAGTTCTCCTTTCAGCTGGAGCAATGGTAACATCCTTGTCTGGGGCTCAACATAAATTACACAATGAAAAGATATCTAAGAGGATTCATGACCTTGCATCGAGGGGAGATAAATTGTGCTCCAAAATCAGATATTTCCTAGATATGGAAATTGCTGTGTCAGAAAAAACACCTGAAGAAGTGTTCAAAACGTTTGACAGTCACATGCTGTCGGAGGATCCTCAGACCCATCTGACAATGATTGAAAGACTTTTTAAGGTAACTGGGCTACATGAAGAAAAATACAAGCAACTAAGTATCAAATGGCTGAAGGACACTGGAAATCTTGACACGTACATTGCAGGTGCCGTCAGTCGCTTTCCAAACATTCCCCAGGAATATGTTATAATGTCAATTTTCACTTTAAATGCAGTTTTTTGCACTCTTGAAGATATACCAAATGAGCAATCTTTGGATATAATTTCCCAACTACTGAACCAGCTTAGCTCAAAAGAGAGTCCTGATATATGGAAAGCTGTTTTGTCCACACTATATGTGATAACACAGAAAACAAAAGGCACAAATAGCTGGGATCAGAACTTTGTTGAGAAGATATGCAAGACAATAGCTCCTTTTGTAGAGAACCGATACACCACTGGCATAAGACTTGTCACATACGGCACATTCGCAAGCTTACTCTCAGTTAAACATGCAACCAGCATCTTTGCATCAGTGGGGATAACTTCAGTGCCTGAGGACTTACTGATGTCTGCAGAAATGCATACAAATGAGAAGCTGAAAGAAGTGCTTAAGCAACTGAAAGATCATCTCAGCAAGCCAAGCATGGACTCTGAGGACTCTACAGTCTTACCTGAATCCAAAAAGAAGAAGAAAAAGAAGAAGAAGAAAAAGAAAAACAAGGAACAGTCAGAAAACCAAGAAGAACCAAATGAGGAAGTTTGCACTGCTTCATCTAATCCAACAGTAGGCCCTGTTGAGGAGACCACTTCAAATGTGAAGCCATTCCATGTCCAAACTACTAAATCAATGCCACGCAGATGGGAACAAAGCAGCGTGAGGTGGAGAGAAAAGTTAGAGAAGCTTGTGAGTACAGATGAAGAAGTGAACAGAATTGGGAGCATGATATATGTAAATAAAGAAGAATTCTGCATAGCAAAAGGGAGTGACAGTACCCAAGTCTTCTTGGGGCTGAGAGATGATGGCACTGAAGTTGCTATTAAGAAAATGGTAAAATGCAACTATCAGGTGCTGAAGCATGAGGAAGGATTTCTACGGCTTCCAGAGCTTGACCATCCATCCATTGTGAGATACATTGACCAATCGGAGGATGACAACTTTGGATATCTTGGTCTTCAACTGTGTGAATACACCTTGGAAGAATACATCAAAACTCATGATGATAGTCACTTGAGAAAGAAACTTGTCCTTGAAGTTCTCAACAGTTTAAGGGTGCTTCACTGTCAAGATCCTCCCATTCTCCACCGGGACCTCAAACCACAGAATGTTCTGATCGGTAAGATACGTTCATAATACAATGAAATTATGGAGATTGGGAAACAATTATTAGAATTCATAATTATCAAACATAATTGTATTAATGTGTTTGTCTACCTGATTTGTCTTTCAGATATTAAAGGGAGGGCGCGATTGGCTGATTTTGGCATCAGTAGACGGTTACCCAAAGGACAAACAACTTACTGCACAGGAAAAGCAGGAACAAAATGCTGGATGGCCAAGGAAACTTTATCAGAAGAAGACGAAACCAATATACCGTACAAGTCAAGCTCTGACATACAGGTCCGTTTTTCTGATAAACTAATGTTATTGATAACCGTGTGTTCAAACACTTTCTGAATTGCTTCAATGTTATGTTAATTCCTAAGGTGGCAGGGATGCTGATTTATTATATCCTCTCTGGAGGAAAACATCCTTTTGGAGACAAACCCCGTAAATGTGAGAACAACATTGAAGAAGGGAACTACACTTTGGACCATGTTCAAGACGTCTTGGCAAAAGACCTCATTGAGTGGATGATTGATGCAGAACCAAAGAACAGACCTAAAGTGGAAGAATGCTTGAAGCATCCCTTCCTCAGAGACAATGACTGGTAACATCACTTTAATCACTTACGGCAAATTGATTAGATTCAGCTAATTTAGGCTATTATTTAACTTTTCTGAATGGTAAACCTTTGCTTCATTTTATTTCTTCAGGAAAGTAGAATACTTGGGAAAGGTGAAAAACGTGAAGGAGGCAGCAAACTGGCAAAATCCTGACGAGGGATTGACTTCTTCGCTGAGGAAATGGGCTGCTGATGGATCCTCCGAACTCTGGAGAGATAAGGTGACTGCAACAGAAGTTTCATTTTTTTTTCAAAACCATCTATTTGTAACTTGAGCTCTTTTTTACTAAACAATTTTACTAAGAACAATTATAAGTAACTATCATCTGTTTTTATTGCAGTTTCCAGATTGCTTGCTGCAGAAGATAGATAAAAATAATCGCTACAAAAAACACACGTCGGAATTACTGCGCTTCATACGAAACCTCCATCAGCACTAGTAAGTCAAACTGAATTATAAATCATTAGGGGCCTTATTCCTATCCTCATCATCATATTTTCTTACTTATTACTAAAAGATATTCTTTTGCTGGAAGTAAAACAAAAAATGTACATTTAAAATGCACCTTCATTGTACTGGTGTGAGGGCAGGAAGTGCAAGATGATGCTCCGTAGACTGGGATTAGGTCGTTTTACAAGTAATATTCCTTCTAACATTCAGGATAAAGGGAGTATTTCTTTATGATAAGACTTTCTGAATGTTTTTCCCGATGTAACTTTTCAGTTCACTTCAGCTTTCAGTTCTTTTCAATAGGTCGCAGGCAAAATATAGGAACCACTGGCCAATTGCAGACGAATGTCAGGGAGGTTTTTGTAATACGGTTTTATTTCTGTGTTTTTCAGTGCCGAGGATGCAGCCACATTGGATCTGTTGAAGATGTTTCCTGATCTCTTTGAGAATGTTTATATATTTACCAAAAGCAAAGGGTGGAATAATGAGCCACCTCTGAAGGAAATGTGTGAAAGAGAAGGGTCCTTCTTTAAATATAGGCCTACCTCTTCTCTGATACATTCAAATTCCGAATAGGGGATAAGTGGTATAATAGCCTATAAGTTAAGAATGCTCACTCTGATGGTCATCATATTTGGAGAGGGAAATACCAGGTGGCTGAACTACATCACCAAATAGTCAGAATAAGAGTAACCCAATAAAATAAAGTTTATTAGTTCTAAATTGCAAGCCTTTAAAACATAGGTGTAAATAGTACAGGTTTTATTGAAACTGGAACCTTAATTCCAGGTACAGTATACACATCATCAAATAATTCTGTGAGAGGTCAAGTATATAGATACTAGAATATAATGTTAAAGGTGGGGTAGGTAATTTTGGAGAAACCAGCTCGAGTGCGCTAGAATTTGAAAATACACAACCGGAAAAACTCTGCCACTTCCTTACAGAGCCCCTCCTCCAACACACACGAACGCGCACATGACCAATGAGGGCACGATATAAGTTTGTGCACAGATGGAAGGCTGACAGGCAGGTAGGCCATCCAGTTATTTTAGCCGGGCCGGCCAAAATGATTGGTCGTGCTTTTTACAGCGCTACTGGCACTTTCCACTTTCTCCACACTTTGCATCTTTGCAATACAAGTGAGTAATGTCTCTCACTTCTCAGGTGCTGGGGGTTTTGTAGCACTGGTTGAATGGCCCCATCTCTGACAATCCACCCCTTGCCAATATAGGACTCGATAACAAGGGTTTGGGTTCGGGCTGTGACACCATATCGCTGTCTGAAACATTGCTCTTTGTACATGTTGTTGAAAAGCATCCTCTGTTGGCGGCAGATTTTCCGAGGCTGCATCTGTTGTTGATGCAATTATGAACCTTAGTTCATCCAAATTTGTGCACATCAGTCCATTTTCCTTTTTCTTTTTTCCATATAGCAGAAGCGCAAATTCTCTTGCGACTGGCAAAGACTCTTCCAAGCTGGCAGAGAGTCAAAAATGGGCTAGATCATGCTGGTAGACAGTTAGACATGTCTTTTCCAATTTTCTCACATATGGTGTTGATGGGGACATATCTCTCTCTCATTCCATGGCCTGCATGCATGTACACTAGAGATGAACCAAACATGTATTTGCTTGCATACTATATGAGCAGTACTTCCACATCTGTGTCATCAGACCTCACAATGATGCGGGAATAT